GGTGCACGGTGCCATCCCTGCCCCATGCTGACGACTGCTTCGTACCTTGCAGTTTGGCGACCCTCCGGAAGCGCAGCTCAGACATGACTGACCAACAGAAGAGGGCATTTGCCAGGAGGCTGCTCAACAGCACCCGCTTCGGGGAGGTCAGCTCCTGGAGTCCGGGCTTCCTGAACTCGGTGCAGCATCTGCTGCCCTTCTTACCCATTGGGCACTTTCAGCAGCTGACCCCTGAGCAGGTTAGTGCCACCGGGGGTAGCAAATGCGGCCAGTAGGGGGGTGGGGGTGTTCCTGAGGGGTGGGGGGAGGGGACGTCTGATGGTGGGGCCAAAGGGGAGGGTCCCCTGTGTTTCACCCTCACCATCTTCCTTCAGGCTCTGACTGACCCATCTCAACCTGGGGTCTTGAGGGTTGTGGAGAACTCAGTCCCTTTGCCTTGGCCTTGGCCTTGCCCTCAGCCTCGGTGCATGGCCTTCCTTCAGGATTAGACAAGTCATCAGGTTATTGGACCATGGGGTGCAGCCCCAAATTCTCATATGCAGTGGGATAGTAACAAGGAGTTGGGGGGTGCAGGACACCCGAATCGTGGCCAAACATTGCCCCTGGTTTGCAGTCCTGGTGGTTATTCTGTCAGCTGGAAACAGTGTATCTGTGGACATGGGGAGGCAGTTGCGATGCCTGCCACAGTCGATGAGCACGTCGGCATAATCTCACTGTGTTCAGATTTCGAACCGTTTGGCAGCACCTCTGAAAGGAGGACGAGGTGGTGGGAGACGGCATGAGTGGGGTTTCGGGTATACAGGAATGCATCTCTTTACTGTTGCAGCTCCTTTCAATGCCTGATGGGTTTGGAAACAGCAGCTTGGATCCAGCTCGGGGAAGGTATGCAATCCGCACTCTCCTGAACTCCAGTCGGAATCTCACTGCGGGGGACATCAGAAGGTAATGGTTCCTGGGATTAGAGTTTCCTGTAAACCTGTGTTGATATTAGTACCCCTCCACCCCTCCACCCCTCCTTATCTCTATCACTCCCTCCCTATCTCTATCACTCCCTCCAGCCCCG